GCCTGGAATTCACTATGTAGACCAGGCTGGCCTTGAACTCACAGAGATCCACCTGCCCCTGCCTCCTGAGTGCTGGCATTAAAGGTACGCCCTACCATGCCCTGCCTAGAGTTCCTATATTTTAGTGATATTTATTTAAAATACTTAAAGGAAACATGGTATGAGGTCTGAGATTTTCTTTAGGAAATTTGGAGAGAGTTGAAGCACAGGTTAAACACTGCAGGACACAAGGAGGTGGACACTGGTGAATCTGAAACCGGTGAAGGGCACATGGCAGTGGGCGTGATGTTCACTCTACTTTTTACTATGTGTGAAATTTTTATGATAACAAAATTAAAAGAATGGAGCTTTCAAAATGATGTTTCTTTTTACTTTTTACTAATGGCCATATCTCATTATTATATAACACTGCTACTTACAGTTCACCCAATTCAATGAGAAAACAGGAAGTAACAGCATACAAGAAAGGAAAGTGAAAATCATTCTGATTTGCAGATGGTATGATTGTATACCAGGGAAAAGCCAAGGAAACAAATAAAAATGTATTTTTAAAAAGTTAAAAATTGGCTAAGCCAGTGGTTTTGAATTTAATCCACACAAAAACTCACAAAAAAATCAGTTTCTATGTACCTACAAACAAGTCAGAAAAATGTAACAAAGCCAAAGTTAACATTTATCAAAACAATAAATGGGGTCTGGCGTGGTGGCACATGCCTTTAATCCCAGCACTCAGGAGGCAGAGGCAGGCAGATCTCTGTGAGTTCGAGGCCAGCCTGGTCTACATAGCGAGTTCCAGGTCAGCTGGGGCTACGGGGAGACCCTGTCTCAAAAAATATCAAAAAAAAAAGTTCTGGATGAAGATCTTATTTATAAAATAATCTAAGAATCATATTGATCTTAAAAATTGAAAAAGATTGATCATTTTACCCCATAAAAGTTTCAGCAAAGTTAAAAAAAAAAGTGACACAGAAGAAAACAAAAGCTGGGTATAACTAGTCACATCAGTACTTGGGAGGCTGATGCAGGAGGGTTCCAAGTTCAAGGCCAGACTGTATTGCAGTCCAAACAAAACTAACAAAGCTACAAAAGCAAAGATAAGGGTAAACTGGGAAAAACTTGTCGTTATGAATTCAAGGGCTCATTTCCTTTAAGTAGAAACATGACACAAATCAGTAAGAAACAAAAGTCAAGCCAGGGGTTGAAGGGAACATTGGCCAATCTGTACAAACATTCAATTACAAGAGAGTAAACTCTGGGAACAGCTACAGCATAGTGACTGCAGCCAGCTACCCTCTATAGCCACAGGATCCACACCTGCAGTTTAACCAACTGTGGTTGAAATAAAAATTTTAAGCTGCATATGTATACTGATCATGTACAAACTTTTCTTGTCCCTATTCCCTAAACAATATGGCATGGTGACGACTTCTATAGCATTCACCTTGTGTTATAAAGCATGCAGAGATGGTTTCAGACATACAAGAATATATGTACACATTCTATGTAAACACTAGTTATGCTGTGGAGAATGACCTTGAATCCCTGATCATGCTTCGTCTGCCTCCCAAGTTTTGGTACTATAGACATGCTCGACTACACCCAGATCTCTTTTAATAAACCTAATCATTTAGACTCATGGGACATACTAAAGCTTAACTGACAGGGAGCCATTGACTTGGAGGGAATAAGATAGTCGCTATTAGCCACTGGCCTCTTCCATAGAGCCCAGGCAGAAGCCCGTACGATGTCCACACAGCTGATCTAACTGGGATCCTGGGTAGCTCAGCTATAAGAGGACAAAATGCCCACCACACAGAGTACGTGGAGCTCATGCAGTTTAAGAATCTCCTGTTCCCAGGAGCTTTCACAACCACTCTTTTTGTGTAGCTTCTAGGGATCCCTCAAAGAGACATTCTCAGTCACAGGAGTGATCATTGTGGGAAGCCCAAAGTTCTGACACCTCTCAAAGACTATAATCCCCCCACCTAGATACAGTCTATCAGTCAGAGTCCTCTACCACAACAATGCTGCCCAGTGGCAGAATTGACATACTATTTTTCAGGTTACCCAGGAAACAGGCTAAGAAAGTTAAGAGAAAGTCAAAATCTCATCTCATACAAATAATTAATTCACCTTTGTGTGGGTGGTGTATAAACCTGTTCATGTGGGTATGTGCCTGCAGTTATGCATGTACATGTGCTTGCATGTGTGTGAAGGCCAGAGGTCAACAATAGGTGTCTTCCTCAATCACTCTCCACCTTATTTTGGGGGACAGGATCTCTCACTGAATCTGGAGCTTATCAATTCAGCTAGGTTAGCTGGTCAATGAGATTCGGGGATCCATCTGTCTCCACTCCCAGTACTGGGGTTACAGACACACATCTCTGCATCTGACTTTTTACATAGGTTCTGGGGATCATGACTCAGGTCTTCATGCTTGCATGGCAAGCACTTCACCAACTGAGCCATCTCCTAAGCCCTCTTTTCACAAAAATCCTTTGCTTCCTCAATATAAAGAGGTAGACAACAAAGTTGGTTTAAACATTTCCCCTTCTTTCTTCTTCCTGCCTGGAACAGGGAGCAATTGATGGAGCCAACCAGACATCATGTGAGAATGAGGTGATGTGGTTTGAATGGGAAATGTTTCCCAGGGGCTCAAAGATTTCAACACTTAGTTCTCAGTTGGTAGCACTGTTTGAGCGAGGTCATGGAACCTTTAGGAAGAGTGGCCTGGCTGGAGGAAGCTTGACACACTTGTGGCAAACTCTGAGAGTCTCCCTCTCCCTCTGCTCCATTTTTGCTGCTGGAGATGTGAGCTCTCAGCTTTTCATCTCCTGCCACCATGCCTGCTGCTTGCTGCCATGCCTCCTTGTCATGATGGGCTCTGATCTCTCTAGAGCTGCAAGCCAAAATAAACTCTTTCTTCTGTAAGTTGTCTTAGTCATCGTGTTTTATCTCAGAAACAGAAAAGTAACTGATACAGGTGACAAGCCTGAAGACAAGGCCAAAAGAAGCAAAGATGATGATCTGACCTCACACAGTCACTGAATGGTCACCTCTAGACGTCCTTATAACACACACACACACACACACACACACACACACACACACACTTTCCTACTATATAATTTAATAGCAGGTAGGTCCCAGCTGGCAAAGATGCCTATTTGCAGATGGTTCTTTCATGCTCATTACATTAGAGGGTTTTTTGTCATCCCCATGACTACCTATTCCTAGTGTTTAACAGGATTTTTTGGTTAATAAAGATTTGTTGAATGTGAATTCTATAATATAAAGGGATGGGCTTTGCTTAACATCTCTGTATTTTCACTGTGATCAAAGGGCTTCTCTCCTAAATTAGGGCTCAAGCCTAATTCTAGTTGTTCACATTGGTGTGAGTGGGTCACAAGCAGTTTTAGGCAGTCTGAGTCAGTATGTGGTGCTAAATCTTATTTTGGTTTGGTTAGGTACAGTCTGAGTTGGTCCAGAGAAATAAGCCTTTTGGAAAACTAAGAGCTATAGTCAGATGCAATGTATGGAATCCTCTGTACTCTTCCCTCCTTGCTGAGGTAAGATTGGGAGGGATTTCTTTGCTTATTATGTCCCCGCCCACAAGAATTTGAAGTTCTTTCCAAATGATGCGATGATTTATTGGCAATAAGAGGTTCATTTAGGTCTATAAGACCCCATTGCCCTGGAGCACTGTGACTGACACATGTCCACCCTAGTTTCAGACCACCAAGGAATATGATAGAGATATGTGCTGCTTTTCTGTGATCAGGACCCCAGGCATACCCCACTGTGGTAACATGTGGGATGACATGTGGTGACATGAAGAAGAGACCACATGGTCTCTTCCTGCCAATCAGTGGATGCTGAAAAACTATAGCCAGCCAGGTGACTGGAATCATTATGTAGTCTGTTGTGATCAGACGAAAATCAGCTTGAACCAGCTGAAACCAGAAAAAGCATAACAAAACCACATGTGAACTGCTGGTCGAAACCCATTTGAGCCTATTCGTATTAGGCAAAATGGAGTCCAGTCTATTTAGGTTTTAAATATTCGTTCTTACACTTAAAACATGATTCTCAACCAAATTAAATGACACTGAATTAGTCAAAGTAGTCATTGTAGGGGGCCAGTTAGAACTTGTTAAGCCTGGTTCAGACTCATCGTTAAAGGAAAACTTGGAGGCTTCCATTATTTATTATAAAAGAAAAGCTGAATGGGCAAGGTTTCAAGCAATTTATTTCTAAAGATCCATTTACTTTGTTTCTGTAAATATTCATAAGAATTAATTATCAGCTTATTGAAAGAATTAATAAAATTCACATTGTCTATTGTAACACATTAGCAGAGATAGGAAAATCCTCCTGTCAGAAAAAAGTCCTACTGAAGATGTTCTTGCTTGGCTGTTGTACCCCACAGGGTCCAAGTGGGGCATCTGGTACATGCAGACTACACCAAGTCACTCCATCAAATGCCAAGCAGGAGTGTCCACACACCAAAAGGTGACACAGAACCAATCAAGCAGTTCAATCAATTTTGTTCTTTATCAAATGTGGAATGTACTGCTAATCCAGAAAAAGACTGTGTGTGCGTGTGTGTGAGTGTGTGTGTGTGTGTGTGTGTGTGTGTGTGTGTTAAGTGGAACCAGGGCATGAAAAAGAACAGCCTGATCAAAGAGGATCATAATGAACTGCTTAAACAGACACATTTCAGTGCATTAATTCAGTCCCCAGTGTCATCTGTGATGCAATTAGCCAGGGTGTATTAAATGAATGGTCCCTACTGGTCCTTGCATCAAAGCAGGCAGACAGGTTACAAGTCCCCCCTCTACAGTATGCTTATTCAGCACTCAAAGAGCCAAATGCCCAACAGCACCTTGCTGGAAATGGTGCTTTCTAAACAAGCTCCTTGGGAGAAAACACACACAGAACCACTTGCTTAGACGTAAAGTGCAACTGTCTCCCGAGAAACAAAGTTCTAAGTCACTTACCAGCCACAAAGCTTGGAAATGATGCCACCTTCTTTGTCTGTCAGGAAATAAGAAAGAGAATAAAACATTACTAGTTGCAAAAGGGTGACTTACAAGACCTGGTCTAAGATGTGTACCACCACTGGAAAAGCCCAACCTCAAGAGTGGCCTATGTTCCCAAGAAGTCAGCTGCACAGCATGCTAGTCATGATACTAACAACACATTGTTGAGATGGAGCACAAAATCCCATCAGTCAAACCTTGGGAGCCTCTAGGTTAGCATGTCATGTCTGAAAAGAGCCAATCAATTGAACGGCTCTCTGTGATGGCTAATCCTGGGTCAACTTGACTGGATCTGGGATTAACTGAAATGAAAGAGATCTTGATTGGATCATCTGAAGCTGGAAGACACACCCTAAATGTGGTGTTACCTTCTGATGGCAGCCAGTATAAAAGACCAAGGCAGAGGAGAACGCCTGGCTTCTTGCTGCTTGCCTTCTCTCTCGCTGGTGAGTTCATGTTGCTGCTGTAGACTGAAGATGAGCTGATATTTTGGAATTTGTCAGACCTTCAGCACCAGATTCGGACTACTGAGGCATCCAGCCTTGTGGACTGAGTGACTACAGATTCTCAGCCTCTCCAGCGTGGTGCAGCCATTGTTGGACTACTCAGACTCTATCCTGTGAGCTAAGCTGATAAATCTCTATACATATATATTCATTCTACCGGTTCTGTTTCTTTGGAGAACCCTGACTAATACAGATTGTGGTACCAGGAGTGGTTCTAGAGAAACAGAATTGAAAGGATGAATTTCTTTAAAGGGCTTGTTGGTATTTGGAGCAGGCTCTCCAACTCAGAGTCTTCAGATAGCATGGAGAGCACTGAAAATCCGTGGTGTAGACTATTTGAAACAATTATGAAAACAGACCCATTTGAATCT